TGTGGTTTTTTTTAAGGCAGGTTGGGTTTGTTAGTTTTTTTGTTGTTGTAACCCCCCCCCCCCCCGCAAAAAAAATCACGGGCTCAGCGATAATGAGCAACCAACACTCAAGCCTACTGGTTAAAAGCAGATGATTTGTATTGCACTCCCCCTCGCCCTTCGCCCCTCCTTCCTCCCCCTCCCTAGCTTTTCCAATGATCCGACCAGTCAGACCACGAGCACGGCTTGCACAACCGTCAAGGGTGACGTACAGGCACAAACCATTGGGGGCGGACGTAGATTGAATTTCGGGTTCGTTTGCTTCCTTTGATTTCACGTTGCCGTACAAAAAGAGGACACAGATGCAAGCGGCAAGGAAGAAAGGTTTGACCACATCACATAGTAGAGACCGTTGGGGCGCTCGTGTAGTCAGGTCTGGCTGCAGAAGCGGCATCATCAGGCACAAGAAGTGCCAAGGTGGGAGAATGAGGGTGACGCAAGAAAAAAGGGATTTGATTTGCAAGCTCGTCGCACTTGTTACGCCTTCACATGCAATTGTGTCTAGGCAGATAAGGAAAGTGTGAAACTAAAAGGGAAGGGACTGGAAAGTCACCGCCCATAAAAATGATCAAAACAATATTCCAGAGGCAAACTTGACACACACCACGCCTTTTGGCAAACAGTTCTGGCAATGGTGTAACACTTTGTGAACCCTGTAGGATCTTCACCTCCTCATTCGCCTCCTCCCCATCAAAAAAGCGTACTGCATAATAAATATTCTCTAATCCCAAACATGAACACCTGTTGAGATGGAAACATGCAGCCGCCTCTGTGAACATGCAGACCCCGGTGCAGTGGGAAAATGGTGGTAAAATGCCACCCCTTCCCATATCGTAAAGACAAAAAGGCCCGCCGTGTAGGAAGTCATCAGAACCCGAAAGAGGTCGAGTAAATTATGGGTGATAATAAAATACGCGTTCTCGCATTGATCCGGTCAGGAACCCTCTCCGCTTTGGGTGGCTTCACTCTTCTCTTAACACTGGTATGCCCTCCTAATGGCCCTGCTGAGCGTACATTTGAGGGTTCTGGCCATACGGCGATTGAGGGTAACTGCTGTTGTTACTATTTGGACTGTTGTATGCATTGCTGGTTGGGGTGGCATACTGCGCCATGCCTTCAGGCAGTCCTGGGCTCTGTGTGCCGTACTGTGGAGCAGCAGAGTTGCCCGAAGCGGCAGGCTGGTAGCCAATGGGGGGAAGCTGAGGATGCTGCGACGGCTGGCCTGGCACACCACCAACTGCTTGACGCATCTGCCCGTAAACAGGGGCCTCGCCCGGAGCACCGCCCTCGTGAACACGCTGTTGTACATCGGCGCGGTGACGCTCTTCATCGGCCTTGCGCGCAGCTTCCTCCTCCTTCTTCTTAGCCTTCCATTCTTTTCTGATCTCCTTGAATTCTGCAAAGCTCAAGTCAGTATGTTTAATCATCCTACCAAGGGTAGTGAGGAAACGCCAAGATAAGCAGGCATGGGTCTCAGTTGTTAGCTTCCGTATTCGAAGCTATCCAGTGCGGCGGGAACACCACACAATGGCGCTGGCACCAGCACAATCCCAGATGCTAACCTAGCGCGCTAGGCTTGCAAGGACCACCAAAACCTCAAATTCCCACCCATATCAACCAAGATGTCACATACCTTCAGGAGTACGCTTTGCACCGTGAGATTGCATAGTGACGTGCGCGTTCAAATGATTGAGTGTTCCGTATGCTTTTTCACATCCATTCCAACCACATTTATACATGCGCTCGATTTCCTCGTAACGCCGACGCGGACGTTTATGCTGTTGCGCACCAGGTATAGGAACAAAAGAGTACACTGTAGATAGCGGATGTCCACCCTGCAAGTTTTTTCGTGGTTTGATTAGCTTACAGTTCCACTGCTAGGGATGTGCGAGGTAGGAAATGGCAATTGTTTTGACGCGAATGGGGACGCGTCAAAGGGATTTCCAAGAGAAAAAAAGAGAACGTGCAAAACTCACAGTTGGCGGTCGCTGGACGGGAGACACCATAGCTGGTGCGGGGGGCCCAGAGGACTGAGCGTAACCATGGTGCATACCAGGTTGACCATAATGCCCCGCCCACTCAGGACGCGACGCGTACATTGGGGTTTGGGGTTGGCCTGGGTAGTGCTGCATGTCGTGGTGAGGTGTATAAGGCGAGTACTGCTGTTGGTGAGGATAAGTCGGGCTCGTCTGAGCGGCGATTGATGGATCTATAGGTACATCCGAGTCAGACTTGAGTTGTTGCGGTGTATGATGGCCATTTGTTTGACCATCTGGGATAGACATGGACGGACTCTGTTGTTGCGCCATACCGCCTGGAGCTTGCCCTTGAGCGCCTGGTTGATACGAACGTTGAATGTATTCCGGAAATGACCCTGATCGAGCAGAGGAAGGGTTCAGACTGTAGTCGGAAGTGGGGGTAAGGTTCGAAGCTCGTGGGTCTTGTCCTTGAGGAGGAGGGGGCGGAGGAGGATATTGCGCAGCAGATGCTTGATCTGCAGACGGTCCTTCAGAAACGGTATCAGGAAAGGTTGGGTAGGGCGGGCTCAAACCTGACTGCGAGTAGTCTTGTTGCCGTGCGTCCATAGACTGTGTAGAGATTGGCGAGAATCAATGGCAATTACGCTCTACGCTGAGGCTGGTTGCGCGTTTGTCCAAGGGGGGAGGGATGGTGGAGAGATATGACGGTCGCAATCCGTTTCGGATGATATGCCGCGACCAGTGGGAGACTGGCAGCTAAAGCGTACCAAGGTAGATGGCAAGGGGCCAAGACGTGCGCAGCCAGAGGACCGGAGATGGAAATTGTGTGGTAGCGTGGGAGTTAAACGCGGGTGATTTGCAGACGGTGTGGTTTCCAGTCGCGCCCAGATGGAGGGACAAGTTCGTTCGGCAGTCTTACGCCGTCGAAAAGATAATGCACGGAAGGCGCAAGGTCAATGCCCACCGGGGCAGGGGGCTGTCACTAGCGGGACTGCGTCTCTCGAATCGCGGAGCCGATGGCGCAGCGCAAGGTGAGGTGCAACGCAGAGGTGACACAGGTGGTGCTAGTGGTGGGTGAAGCTCGCACTGCGGATCTGCTAGGGGCGAAGGTGGATTTGGAAGACCGCAGGCTAGTCGATGGCACGGTCTAAAAGGCTTTTAGACTGGTGGCGTACGCCTTCAATGACGGCCACCAATGGGTGGGTGGGTGCGGGCTCGCGGCTTACCCAGGCAAGCCTTAGCACACTGGATGAGGTAATGAATCTCCGTGACGATGGGGACAAGGATGCGAATGAATTCGGTAAAGCCGAGCCGTATCTGTGGGAATTGAATGCTGTTCTGGGTGGATGCCTAGGACCAGGTGGGTTGGCGCAGATGGCGAAGAGTGGGCGGCTCGAAGGAGGCCTCGAGGGGCGGGTGCTAACAAGGCGCGGGGGAGCGTGCGCGAGCGCTGGTAGGCTCTGGCACTAGTGAGAGAGGAGCAGGTTGCGGTAAGCGTGCTCGGCGAGGGTGAAGGAGAAAGAGATCAAAGGCGGCCACAGCCCAAAAAAAGAGGTGGCCGTTTGCGCACCGCTGAGTGGCTCTGCTTGCAGCAAATGCAGGCTGCAATGGCAGTCGGGCCGTTACGGAAGGGTCGATGACAAGAAAGTTGCACGCTCGCGGTGGTTCTCCCTGCCTCGTGCTCCAGAGCTCAGGTTGGCCGAGCTTGCCGAGGCGCGCAGAGAAAGATCAGCCCTCGTCCAGCCGGAAAACTGTGCAAGAAATTCACACAGTGGAACCACACGGGAACGCTCCTGGCAAAAATACGGCCTGCTGGGATGGGCAGACAGCCTTCTCCACGGGAGAGGAGAGGGGTGGAGAGAGAAGAGGATGGGAGGGGGGGAGGGTGATAGGCGACAGGCGAGGACTGGCCCTTTCTTTGACCTTGGTTTAATGCGCGCAATTGACTCGCACGATGTATTGACAGGGCGGGAGTGGTGGTGGTGGTGGTGATGATGTTGGCGCTGGTGCTGGTACTGGCGCTGGATACCGATCTTGGTGCCGGTCAGTAGCAGCACAGCGGATGCGCGATCTGACGTGCCTGGGGAGGGGGTGGCAGCGAGCTACTGGAATCGCTGGTGACGGCAGCGTTAGGGCAGGCACCAGATGCAAAGGCGATGGTGGTGAGCTGCACTGAGATTCGCGATGTAGACTAGGGACGAAGATGGGAAGGCGTGAAGGTGGCGAGGAGAGAGAGGCCACTAACAAGCAAAGTGGCCCGAGGCAGAAGGTGCAAAGGTGCTGACGTAATGCAGTGGCAGCGACAGCAGCGACAGCAGCAGCCGTGACCTTGGCCTGGCAATGGACGGGCGAAGGGTGGGAGGGAGGGAGGGGGGCAAGGAAAAGTGACAAGGGCCAAGGGACAGACAGACAGGACAGGGCATGGGGCAACAACACCGCGCTGACGTTTCCGTACGACGAACGCGTGCTGGCCTGGCCTTGCCCTCGTGCGCGGGCGGGCACACACACACACACACACTCTCTCTCTCTCTCTCTCTCTCTCTCTCTCTATGCACTCGACGACGGACGACAACGACGACGAGGTGAAAAGAAGAGTGCAGCGATGCGATGAGGCTGAATGCTAGCCCATACGCTAGCTAGAGACCGGCATAGGGACATGGGGGGCGACGGCATAGTACTACTGTGTTAGACAAGTAGTAGGTAGTACCTGGCACCATGGGGGTCACTACAAGCCTTGACTACAGTAGGAGAGGTGAGACTGAGACTACACGGTACACTGAGGAACAGCCAACATCACAACCTCCACCCCATATCTCTCCCAACCTTAACCTCAACCTCAACCTCAACCTCAACACCAACACTCTCCACTTCACTCCACTCCACCCCACCCCACTTCACTGCAATGCACTTGCTCACAAAACCACATCACAGCACGGCACACACCGCACCTCTCTCCTTCTCCTCCCTCCTCCCCTCCCCTACCCCTTCCTCCTCCCCCACCCCAGCAGCAGCCGTGGGCGGGCGAATGCGGCCGCCCTCGGCTGGAGCGGCCACCGAAACGTCTGCATGCAAATATTAACCATGGCACAGACCTCGCAGAGAGCGGCAAGACAGCCCAATGCGTGCAGGGAGCTGTGCGAAGCGAACGCTCGACTAGGTATATACAGTCACAGCACAATAGGTACCGGTACATACGGTGGTGTGGGAAGAAAACAACTTGTGGACCGTTAACAGCACGGCAGCCTGCATCCGACTACGGTTCCTTACTCTACTCCACCTACTCTAGGAAGGAGAACGGTGTTGCTGCTGTCGCTGTCGCTGCTCTCTCCCAGCATCAGCAGCAGCAGCAGCAGCAGCATCAGCAGCATCAGCATCAGCAGCATCAGCATCAGCGCCCACTGCCATTTTTGCTCTTCGCTCGCTCAGCTGTTGACGGTGGACAGCGGGGAGCGGGGAGGAAGGCGGCCTGGATCCTGACCTCATTCTCGCCTTCCTTGCATGGCTGACGGAGAAGCGACCTTCCCGTGATGAGTCGCCCATGACCTCAAGACCACCTGCCCCCATGTCGGCGGTGAGTTGCCCCTCCCCTCCCAAACGTCTGCTCCGCGCTTGCCGGCTCCCGCCCCACGAACAATCCATCAGCCCATCAATCAATATGCGCAGTGTGGTAGGTACAGCTCACGAAACCATTTGCGCATTCTTTGCCCTTCAACTCTCCAGAACCAGAACACGGCTACTACTACTCTTCCAGGTGCACTCTTTGTACGGTATAGTAGTGTACTCTAGTGTTGAGTAGGTAGGTTTCAGCCTCGCTCGTCTCGCTACGTGCGCTCTCTGCCACTAGGCTATAGCAGGCCGCAGCAGAACGCCCGCAATGCGTCGTCGGTGTGCTTTCCCCGCCGTGCTCGCCATCCTTGCCCTGTGGTCACCAGACCTAGCGCTTCTGTGTGCAGCCACAATGTCGGGGCCACATTCCGACCTGGACATTCCCCATGGACTCCAAATAGGTATCGTAGGCACTCTACACACAGTAGGTACCATACCCGACAGACACCTGACACTGGCTTGATGAGCGCACGAAAACGTGGAAGGATCGGGCAGAACCATGTCTTGCTGTTGTCAGCCATCAAAGTGGGGCTGTACAAGCCCCTCGGCTCCTCACCTACCAGTATGTGCACTGTACAATACACAGGCGCACATAGCATGCCATAGGAGTGTGAATGCCCTCACCTTCATAGCCTGTTTCCAGGCCGGCTCGTCGGTGTAACTCGCGGTGTAGGTTGTCCAGTATGTCAAGCAAGGTGCATACTGTTACATACTATGGTAGATACCGTACCCTTGTTGACGACGTGTCGCGACAGTCTCGTGCATCATCCATCCACCAGATATCGCCAGAGAGGAAGCCCGCCTCTCCCTGCGATGAGACTGCGACGGCAGCGTACAACTCCCATTGTCTCTTCCCAGTCGATTTCCGACTTCTCAAAAGGTAGTTGTAGTCCGGCGAGGGTCTCGGCTCTCGACCAAGTGAGTCCCAGCGCCATGGTGCACGTCTGGACGAGATGTTTCCCAGATGATGCAGGCATCCGCTAGGTAAGTACGCGTTTGAGACAATCCCACCACACAAGCTCTGAAGTCTCGACCTGGTTTCGGTACTGGGTAAGCCATCCTTAGTTGACCTCGCGGTATACTACATAGGTGCATGGTCTATCCTAGTAGAGGAAACCTTCGTTGGCTGCACGGTATACATAGCATGCGATGGAAACGGTTTCTGACACACGAGACACGATACACGCTTCTAGTACAGATCGTAATGGCCCTTGTGTGTATTGGGTTTAATGCACCAAGACTGATCTGATCCAGGATGATATACATACTTTGTACCTACCAGTGTATGGGCAGGTACGCTAAGGAAAAACCACACCGTCGAACGGGAGCGAGAAGTAACTTCGATCTCGATATGCAGGTGACTGTTGCGCAGAACGATGGACAACACACTTGCATCCTGAAATTTCAAGTCTGTACCCAGTCCATCCACCTCTTTCTTCCGTGACGGAGGCTGCGACATGCAACATGCAACAGGGCAACACAACATGCGCAGGGGAAATGTCGAGCGTCGTCCAGAGAGGCTGTCGAGCCCATGTTGGTGGGGACCGACGAAGATCGGCACATTTCCCTCAGAGACGCATGAGGACAGTGTCAATGTCAGAATGCGGTAAGAAGGACGAAGAGGTCAACGTTAATCCCCGACCCAATGCTAGCCTACCGATATTTCTAGCCCTCTTGGCCCTTGTGAGGGTGCCGCTAACGTCCAACCACTTCGTATCCAGGAACGCTTCGTGGACCATGAATTTTCGACCAAGCGGGTGACACAAGGGTGGCCCGTCTCTTTTCCATATCCCTCCCCTGTCCACCAGCAGGATGAGCGGGGGCCCCTTGTTTGTCGCTTCTCCCATGTCTTTCGGTCAAATTATGACAAGTCCAACCGAGCGAGGACCCCTCACGTGGCGAAGAAACGCACGGTGCGGCCATGGATTCGGCCCAGGTGCCCACTACTGTGCATCCACTGTACCTACACAGCACGTCTCTCACTTCCTTCATCCTTGTTGCCAGACTTTTTTTTCCTTCTCCTCTCTTCCGAGGGCACAGTACCGTTTACACACAGCTGCGGAGCGACAGCTGTCATGGTGAGGTTGCTGTCATGGCCGAATTGCTGGCCCGCTTGGACGTCGTGAGTCGTCGCGATTCGGACAGCGTTTGACGACATCCGATCCATGTCCGAGATTCTTCGCACCCATTCAGTATTGTATGCACACGAAGACGTGGCAGCCGATATCACATGCAGCAGCGGGGCGGGCTACTTTCCCCAACCCAACTCCTCTTCCCTTGACCTGTGTTGACGTGTGGGGAGAGTTGCCTGGCCTGTATTCTGTCATGGCCGTACTGTGGTATGGCACGGTAGGTAGAGTATGGACATGCAAGGAACCTTGCAGTCACCAAAGCTGTTGGTACTACCATGTACAGCATTCAATTTCGCGCCTCTGTTACCCCCCCCCCCAGACGCGTGCACTAGAAGCCGACTAGAACTTCAGATCCTCTCAAGCGTGAAATCGTAGAGGAGCGGGGGAATGGCTTGATTTGCGCTAAGAGTCCGAAGAAACACAGTCCATTACCGCGCTTGTGTTTGTGAAGTCGGCGTTGTTTATCTTTGAAAATGGTACTTGTCATTTTTCATCATGCAACAATTCATAATGTGTAAACCCGTCTCAGACCTCGTATAAACAAAATAAAAGGCAGGATGCGGTGAAGGATAGGGTGGACAGGATGGAATCAGGCTGCAGAGTCCTCTCAGCGCGTATCGCCTTCTCTGCTCGGCGGACTGCTGGCTGCATCATGTCGACTTGGAGTCTGAGCTGCGCTGCTTCGCGTGAGATCCCTGTGCCGTCACTGCTGCTGCCGCTGCTGCTGCTGCACCTCTCGTGATCCCGGCCCACCTCTCTCAAGTCACATACACGAGGCCCTTCACGATGCGTCTATGTGGCCCCCCCCTTGCACTTCCTATTTCCGATAGATACCTATCACAGTACTTTCAAACAGACATCAGGATTTTTGGCTTCATGACATAATCTTGCGTCAGCCTGTCCACTCTTTCCTTTTCCTGCTTACCCTATGGCAACAGGGTCCAATCCAGAGGCCACCACCACCACCACCACCATCACCACCGCCACACCCCCTTCCCTCCTCCATATGCTAATCTACATTACACAAATCTACTACCTACGGTGCATTGGCGAGCAGAATCATCAATTCTCCGCTTGGTTCCCCTCCATCGAATGGAATCCTACGGACTCCCAGGATAGACTTTGAACCCATCTTTCTCAAGAAGGATATTACCGGTCAGGCCCCATGCTAGCACAAGAAACACAAATACCTAAGCGATCTGCAGCCATCCAGAAGACCCGAAGAATGCCCGATTTTGGCGCCCGAAGATCGTTGCTGCCAGTTTGCCTCCATTGGCAATCGGGTGAACGAGGCCCACGCGCTCTGGTTCGCGCATCGGCGCCTTTGATCTCATGGATCCCCACTTTGTTCTGCCTCGGTCGCCTGTCGTTGTGGCCGTCTGTTCCAGTGTTCCTCATAGAGTACCTGTGTACAGTGAATGTACAGGCCTAGCCTACTCTTTCCCGCCCTTGTCATGCACACGGTAGTTGGACGGCGGAACTGAGCGCAGATTGCAGCGGACATCATCGACAAACTGGCATGGCCAACTCCTGATGCACCTCCGCACACAACACGCTCTATACACAGTCCTTGTCTGCTCCTTTTGTGGTCAGCAAAGACGCCTGCCGTGTGTTGTACACGCGACGTGTGATGATCATCCCGATCAGTCATCCACCAGTCGATCCGTGGTGAGGAGCCTACCCCCCCCCCCAGTCTTGATTCGAGATGGGGATGCCATGGGCCACCCTTTCTGGACCCTCGATAGGCATCCCACCCACCCATCCGATGGCTGTTTCCGTATCACTCACAGCCGGAAACCATCGCACACAAAGCCTGGAGCATTCCCAAAAATTCGATAAAGCTTGCCCAATCGATTCGCCAAATGCAACCAGATGGCAACAACAGATACAATGATATTCTCAATAGCGTGAACCTAGCTCGGGAACGCGCGCTTTCCCCAATTCACCCTGGCCCAGACGGGACGTACATGGAGTATTTCTGTCACAAAGGCGCAACAGACCAATGGAAAATTACGACCCAGTTTCCGAATCAGAGTGCCGAGGCACACTCATTTCAGATCAGGGTCGTGGACGCGAACCCTGCCAGTCTGAATTGCGACGTGTTGAGCCGCGTAATCCGAGCGCCTGATGAGGAATGATGACAAGGCTGCTTACTCAACCTGCGATGTCATCGATGAGAGCATGGCTGAAGCAGTCCCAGAGCAAGATCTAAGCCTAACTGCGAATGAACAGTCTGCACGTGGAAACGGTACGACAAGCCCAATCACGATCATAGCTCCGATTTCGCTAGGCCAAAGGTTATTGTATACTTGTGTCCATGCTCCCTCCTAACCACCGTGACAGTAATAAAGTTTGCGAGGATTCATGCAAACGGCCGTCTTTGCCCAGGAGCAATTCTAAGATTCATCGGAACTGTTTCCGTCCGGAGAACTGCCAACTCGATTCCATGCCATGTACGCAAAACGAACCTGATCCATGGGCCTCGATCTATGATGTCTTCAAAGGGCAACCTCGCCGTTCAACAGCGCTCAGTGGGTGGCATACGAATGCGCTGCTGCATGCCATGTTCTTGGTTCTTGGAAAGCGGTATCAACTCCGGTTTGATGACGGTGCTCAACTCCTCTCTTCAGCTGCGAAGTGAATGCAAGCAGAATTTGCACCGGAGCAACGGAAGGACCATGGACCCAAAGTAGCATGGTGAAGGAGGAAGAGGACAACCATCATCCTCGTTCACAGTTTTGCGTCTGCCCATGCAGCTGACATGGAAACCAACTTGGGAAGAGTGAAGGTCCCTTTTTTTCGACTCCTCGCAGGCATCTGTTATGCGTTTGCGGGGAACAGCCATGCGAGTGGCATCCCTGGTAGGTAGGACGCGCTGGTCGTAGAGCTACTCATCCTTCCCGCTTCAAGCGGACAGTCCGCTCAAAGACGTCGCTTGCGCCATAATGCCGAGAGTAAGTCGGCCAACGATCGCTCGTGACCCAGCGTGCAACGGATCACCTTAGTTGTTACTCTATCTCGACTTCACACAGTATCCGATCTCACCTGACGGGTAGGAATTATGACTCTTCCTACTGGCAGAGAGCTTGCCCGACAATCGACCACAGCGCCAGGCATGACTTATGAATACGGCAATCCCGGTCAGTCTCACCTGAGTCTGATCAGCGACTCCTGTGGCGTCTTACGGTCCTTCACGAGTCAATCCCTCTCGCCAGCTGGGCCTGGCCATTGCATGATCTGGATGCGTCGTCTTGAATCGACATGGGATCATGGTCGACTCGTCATCAATCTGCCGTATCTTTCGTACCCGATGACATGTCGACTCCGAGTTTGCGGCTCCTATGTTTAGGTACCAAGATCCCTCTCTCGTTCCACTTGAACTTTTCCTACGGTAACAAAAATTCACCCCTTGTTTCTTTGGTCAAGTACCTGGATGTTCTTTTACCTCGTCAGATTTCGCATATGCTCAATCGATGGTTTACCAAAGTCTTGCTCTTGACAACTGCAAGTACTCGTTCTCTGTGATCAGTGGACATGGTTGCGTGGGAAAGATTAAGTGCGAGTACCGCAATGCACGACACATCTGCTATCAAACGGCGGCGTATCAATCGCACCCAAGGTACACCAGGTCTGGCACAACCTGTTTTTTCCCTGTACCAGGCACTGTCGACGCGTTTGTTGGATTATCTCATGATCAGCAATGTTGAAACCCTGTAGAGTTGTGATTCGCGCATTTCAAATGGTAACCATCCGACCCTGCGGAACGCAACCAAGATTCTCCTCAAGCAGATCCAGATCCTCTTTCCTGCATCTTCACGCAATCACTTGCCCTCCGCTACGTGTCATTTCCCCCCGTCTCTCTCCCATCTTTTCTTCTCGCGTCAATATATCAACCCTTTTACAATTTTCCAGCTCAGGTGATTTGAAATGTGAAGAAGAAGAAGACAGCGGCGTCCACATGCTTCTTTAACGTGCAAATAAACATGCACCACACTCTCTCCCCAACCCCGATATCCCCTTCTTCACACCATGAGCTCATCCCTTTATTCTTCTTCTCGCCCTCTCCATGCGAAATATTCAACCACCCACCCTTTCACGAGCATATACTTTAACCCAACCCAACGCCAATCCCCAACACCAACCCTAACACCAACCCAAATCCAACCTCGGACCCACGGCCCCGGGCCCCGGGCCCCCTAAAATCCAACAAGCGCAGAAGAGAAATCAAGAGGCTGGGAGCACGGCGCCGGGAACGTGGGAGGTTGCATGTGGGACTAGTGGGGTGTTGATCTTGTCCGTTTGGGTGCGGGTGGACCGTGGTTGGGTTGGTGGGTTGGGGGGGAGGGGGGTGAGGGGTGAGGGGTGAGGGGTGAGGGGTTTGGGACTGGGTGTGATGGTGTGTGGGATTGGGGGGTTGGTGGGTTGGGTTGGGAGTGCGGAGGGGCGAGGGGGTTTAAAGAGAGGGTGGGTTTGGTTTTTGAGGAGGGGGATTGGATTGGATGGGATTGGATTGGATGGGGGAGGGAAGAGGAAGAGGGATGGGAGGGGGAGGGACTTGAAGAGATGTAGATGCCTAAAGGGATGTAGATACCTAGTGAGACACAAGTTCTTAATAAGACATAGCTTCCTAATAAGACATAGCTTCCTAATAAGACAGATTTCCTAACATCACACACACTAATCTAAACTAAATTTTATCCTATCCTACAACTTTATATTTCTACTTCTACTTCTACTCCTCTAACCTATCTACTTCTCTTTCTATCGATCAAAGCAAAGCTAAATCCTAGACCTGTGGTCTTTTGTGGTCTTTTGTGAATTTACGATAGGTTGTGTTGTGTTATATTAGGTTGGGTTAGCTTGGGTTAGGCCAGGTGGGTTGTGTTAGGTTGTATCTTATTATATTGTATCTTATCCTCTGTGATCCTCTGGTATCTTATTCCACCCTATCATCCCTATCCTTATTCCCATTCCTATTCCACCTACCTTTTTATTCTTATTCCTATTCTACCCTATCGTCCCTAGTCCGCACCCCACAACTCTCTACGCCTAACTTATCTAAAGTAAAACCCACCCTACCTTCTCCAAAGCAAAACACGCCCTAACATACCCAACACAGCATACCCGCCCCAAACAAACCCAAGCTATCCATCTTCCTCACCCATTCACAAGTAACTAAACCACGCTATACTGCACCCAACACACTGAACAGCATACACAAAGAACACCGCGCGGGGGGAAGAAGACGAAGAAGATTCAGCGGAAGGAGGAGGGTGTATCCAACCCAGCTATCACCATCCATCCATTGAACATTTCCTTCCAACTAAAACTCCCTCCACAAAGATGCGAAGTATCCAACCTATCCAACCCAGCTAGCCCCCCTTATTCCTATCTAAGATACCACGCCCTAGCACACGACACAATGCGTATGGCTCAGAAATGTAGTATATCTAACTTTGCTGGACGAGTAGCCGTGGGTACACGTGGGTATATGATGGGTGGTGGGTAGGTGTGGGTATTAGGGAGATGGGGATGTGATGTGGTGGTTGATGGGTGGGGTGTGCTGGATGGATGGAACAGACAAGTAAGTAAACAAGCGAGTAAGCATCTTAGGTCAATCTAGTATACCAAGGGGATATATGGGATGTGCAGTATTACATGGGTGTATCGGGGGGTATAGGCACTGGGATGCAATGATTCATCAATGGGTAGGTTAAGAGGTAAGAGGATATGTAGCCCAAGGGCTAAGAAGATGGCTAGATCAACAATACAAACATCAAGTTTTATTTTTATCACGAAGCAAAATGGAGATGATAGAAATCATTCATATACAGCGTAGCCTTTGTTGTCCCAGCGCGGACAGCTTCGCATGCGTCCTTTGCTGGTGGGAGCCGGGGATCTATGGGGATATAGGGTTGCGTGGGACGAGTAACAATCAAGAGGCCAATGCATTTCCTGGGTCTACGAGTACGCGCGGAAGGATTTGTCTGATTAGCGGGCGGATGACGGGATTTAGAGACTGATGGGACAAAGGTGATGTGTTTTTCCTGAAGAAACCCATCAGACTTGATATCTCGGTAGCTATCGTTCAGCTTAAAGTAGTAGGATATCACTATCAAGCTTGGACTCATCTCAATCTTTTCCTTCTTATCGAAAAGGTAGCACCAGGCATGCTCCTTACTCCACACCACTCCCCACCTTCTGGCTCCGCTGCGTCTTCAAGAACTCCCAAACCTCCATGTGCTCTTGCGATTTGGCGACATCGGCGGCTGTCTGTCCCTTTTGGTTCGTGATATGCAGATTCGCACCCCATGAGACCAGCAGCTGCACGACGTCCAGATAGCCATAGCTTGCAGCCCACATCAATGCTGTCCGACCGACATCATCCTGGCGGTCGATTTGCACACGACGGGTTGAGAGAAGCGTCTCCACTGTCTTAGGGGACTGGATGAAAAGCGCCCATAGTAATGGCGTCCAGCTGTCGATATCCACGTCATCCTCGCCACCACAGTTATTGTTCAGTAAAATGCGCAGAGTGTTGGTATGTCCACCCTGACATGCCCATGAAATGGCATTGCGCAGGTCATGGTCTTTGCTGGCTTTGTCAATGCCCTTGGTGTGCATCAAGATACTGACTACTTCTCTTTGTCCATTGCCCGCGGCCCACGAGAGTGGAGATCGCCCTTTTGCGTCCGCCAGATTCAAGTCTACAGAAGGGTGGCGAAGTAAGACTTTCAGCACCCTCACGGAGCCTTCTCCAGCCGCCCAGGACAGGGCAGAGCGTCCGGCTTTGTCGACGTGGTTGATGTCGATTGCTGGCTGTTTCAGCAAGGACTGCACAATACTTGCATGGTCTCCCAGTACAGCCCAGAAAAGTGGCGTCCAATGTGTGTGATCTTGTTCGTCGGGCCTGAAAGCACCGTTTTCCAACAGCGCTTCGACAATATCCAAGTGCCCGTTTCCTGCGGCAAACGACAGCGCTGATCTTCCCGATCTTCCCGGTAATGAAATATCGATTTGCGATGCGCTGAGAAGCAATTTGAGGGCATCCAGATGCCCATATTGCGCAGATATAGTCAAGGGTGTGTCCTGATCGACTCCAGTACTATTCGAGTCTGTGCCATGATGAAGCAACACTCTAATCGAGCCGAGAGAGGACATTCTCGCTGCCCAAAACAGCGCTCGGCCCTTCTTTGCTTCTTCAAAATCTGCTTTTGCCAATGTCTCGGCAAGCAGCGTGGTCAGATTGAAAAAGGCGGCTATTTCAATCGTCTCGAAATTATCTGGGAAGGAGTATTCCATGTTCCTTTTGACCCAATAGTATCTCAACCAATTCGTCTGCACACAACTCAAAGTCGCCGTCAGTTGACGAGCCGCCTCGTGGACGTGATCCGGGGCAATGGCTTCGCATAGCGAGTAGTGCTCCGCCCAGAAAGTTGCCGCGTAATCGAAAACTTCATATCTCTGAGCAATTAGCGTACATTGCTCCTCGCCTATATACTGTGAATGTTTGAACAAATTGTCTAGGCTGGGATAATCGTCTAGGCCAAGAGATAGGCCCTTTGTGTCGAAGTCTGTGAAGGGGTCCGAAGGACAGGAATCAGGCGAGCTCGGCTCGAGGCTTATGTCTTCCGGGGCGAAAATGTCCGTTTGGAATTCCTTCAGAAGCAGGTATCGCATACATGATTGGGATATGCTCAGCGCTGCTTCTGGAAGAGGAATTGCAAGACTCTGCACTGTCTTGTCTGCAGAACGGAGTGCGAGGTCGGTTAGGTATTCTTTAGCGGACTGATGTATGAGCGAAACGGTTGAATCTCTGGCCGAGCTTTGTACACCATTGATGCGGACAAAGGACCCCACGATATCCTGCAACGTTGAGCTGATGGAGAACTGCCGGTCATTCAGTAAATCGGGTAGGGCTTCATGTTTCCGCTGAATCGTGAATGCAGTGTCCATCTCTTCCAACGTCAGGGGTCTCGAACTTCCAATAAGCAGCTGTAATATTTTTCTGGCGTCCTCTTGATTGTTAGGTGGAATCTCGCGTAAAAATCGGCTATAAGTGGCTTCAAGATTCTCGGGGAATGTGTTGATGATCCGTTCGAAATCGCTCTTTGATGCCTTTGAACTACCTTCAAGGCTACGGAGTACCATATTCAGCCAGAGAAAACTCTGGTCAGACTTGGAATACAGCAACTGCTCTAGATAGTTCTTGGTATCGTCGTTGCAATGAAACTTGTTTGAGATCTCGCCGACCTTGCTTCGAATGACCAACTTGACGTCTTCGTTGACAACATTGTGGTTTTGCTCGATTGGCAGTCTGGTTGTCATTGTTCCCGTGAGATTGTAAGAGTTTCCGAGTGATGGACGGCTGGTTATCAGAAACTTGACATAGTTCTGAGATTGTCGATGTTCATCTTGTGACTCGTTCACTAGCCGCATCATGGCGTTCAGGAAACTATTGCGCGTCCTGGCTTCACACTCATCAATCGCATCCACTATCACGCCCACAGGGCCTGACGTAGTATTAGCAACCAACTTCAGAAATAGTTCCCAGAGGGCCGGGAAGGAGTTTGCAAGACTTGGGCCTTCCATTTCGAATCGTTTCTTCACATGCTTAATGAGCTTTCGGTGTTGCTGTAGGATCTGATATAGAATTCCGCGAAGAATAGCAGCTGCGTCTCTCTGAGATGTTACTTTGTCGTCACAGATGAAAAGAAAGACCTGAGGTGTATTAGGGTCAGCGCGATGTAGCCTTAGGTGCTCCGCCAGATAGGCAGAGAGCATCGTTTTCCCACAGCCAGGTTCGCCCGTGATCCACAGCACTCTCGACTCTTTGGCCGCTATCCAGGACTGATATGCAGGGTTGTCCAGAATCCAGCTGCAGGTCCCTTGCACCGGCCTCGGTAATTGTGCTTTATATTCTGCTAGGTGGATTGAATTTAGCAGGGCCATGCAAGATCTTTCAGCCTCGGTCAAAGCTAACAGATCGCTTAGCTACTGCTGTATCGTGGTTCGTCTATCATTACATACACTGAGTTGAGGATGTGCGGAATGATTTCATTTCCATCTCTCGGTTGAAGAGGGCATTTTTGACCAATCGTTTGATCGCCTTCAAGGCGTAGCTGTAACCATCATCCTTTGCCCCTCCGAAACGGCACATAGTTCTATGATTTGCGAACAGGGGTATGATATCTTCGTCTGGTAATCCCAGTATGGCAGAATGTGGATCAACGACCTGCATTTAGAGCTGTGTTAGGCGCTGCTTCATACAGATATTTTCTCTGGAGGCGGTCTTACCAGTTCTGACAGCCCGGGCATGGTTTCCGTTTCGTGAAAGGTGACAATGTCCAAGTCTCTCAAACGATTTCGGGAAGAGACCGCGAGATCACTTAATGCTTGAGAATTGGATCCAAGGGTTGTCAGAAGGTCATCCCGTATTGTCCCAGCAATGCCTGCAGTCTGTGATGCACGTAAACACATGTTAACGACCCTTCCCACGATTTTCCCGACATCAGCTCCTTTTGAACCACGATGTGGCGTTCCAAAAAATACAATGGCGGAAGTGGCAGACAGTATGTCACTGTACAAGCGGTCATCTTCATGCGCCAGAACAAGAGCCTGGACGAAAATTAGGATTTCGTCAATCTAGAATTGTCGAACTTCTCACCTGCTTACATACTATGCCTCCAAGGCTGTGACAAACGAATATTATCGGACGCTGCGGTCCTTCCGAGATGGCTCTGAGAGAATTCAGAAGATTCCCAGAATAGTGTCGTAAAGTGGCCACTGAAGAGCTCCAGAGGAGCTCAGATGGGTAACCATAGGTGAAAACGCGTGACCCGGGAAGGCTGTTCGGGAGCAGATCACGGAGCCACAAAGTACCGTTCTCGTGCTGCCATGTTGTATAAGCGTCCCCGTTCAAGCCATGTATTGCCACAATATCTACTCCGATAGCATCTTCTTCTTTTGAATCGTCAGGCAAGTCGTTGCCGCTGAGTAGGAAAAGCCCGTAGGTTTTTTCGCGTGCGTTGTCTGGCGCCGGAGCAGGCGAGGAATCTAGCTGGGGAGGAGGTTCCTAGGGCATCATCACATCAGAAGAGCGTTCTAGAGCGTAGCTTTTGCTTAGTATATAGGCCTAGGTGGCTCCTGACCTTGGGAGCTAGCTGTTTTCGTTTAAGTTTCCGCAATTTCCTGCGCAACTCTTGCATCGCGTTGAAATCAGACAGTTGCACTTCGACGTAATAATCGGCTGAGCTAAGATCAAGTGGTGGGAAGCAGGTATGAACTATTGTTACCGTACAACCTCACGAGCAGCCGTTATGCCAGAGGTGGGGGCGAATGGGGCTGAATCTAGGGGACGGCTATAATTTAGCCCGTGCATGGGGGTGTCAATGCAGGATTTTGGCTTCACATCTCCAGAACTACACCATCGTGCTCTATCTACTATTTTCTATATATGGGGTATCACTGTATGGTAGTAATACTATGTTTGCACTAGTTACTTTACTCTATTACATGCTGTAGTAGGGCTGTAGCTGCTGTCGTAGCCCAAGCAAGTAACAGGGGATTGGTAGTGAATAAAGGAGTCCCTAATTTGAACACGCAGTGCTAATAAGCAAGACGGGGCTTGTATTAGCCCATCTTTAATGCAACTGTTGCTCGTGGGTTTTTACGGTACGCAAGCTAATGAGTCCCGAGAGGCGAGATTAGGCTTAGCAGCAACCAAACATCGTTAGAGTTGCTAGCGAAGACAATGGGTACATACCTTCAGCTTCCTACATCATAAGCTTGCTTCCAACATCAGGTGATTATATCTTTGCATGCTGGTAGCGTCGCTACAGTTGACATGTCTCCCCAGCTGTATCCTCAGATATCACGTGATTGGTTAATGTTTGGCATTGCTTCGATCCTGTCATGAACTCGTAGAAGGTAGATCCGAGAGCAAAGATCTCGCTCTCTTCTGCAACAACGTCATGGTCAGGGAACTCGTGGCTCGTCTCATAGCAAACGAGAGCAGATTCCTTGTCAGTTTTATAGCCACTAAAGTCGTCAAGTTTCGTATTAAGTTTTTCATCAGGAAACACATTGTTCCAAAAGACATCTCCATGCTTTACATGTCTAGCATGAACGAAGGTCATTGAATTCGCAGATTTGGCGTATCCAGTGAAGTCGCAGGTAAAGAGGAACTCTGCGCTTTGACTATGTTTCCTGATGTTCTGAAGGCACATACTATTGATGAGTTTTTCAAAGTAGAGCTAAGCTACTAGAACAACTGAAGATCGCTTGAAATTCAGTGTCCAATATCTGATCTACTCACCAAGTACTAGTATAGGCAATCTTGAACGTCCAGATGTACTTGTCAGAGGCGATAATATCATCGCTCAATTCCAACTTCAATGTTCCAGTCCCATTCCAGGTTGCTGGAATCGAGGTTCCATTCATACTTCCACCAACAATAGTCACTGTATCACCAGGCAAGTATGGCACTGGGTCTGTGATTGAAAGAGACGACGGCGGCGCCCCCTTGTGATGGATATAGAAAGCATCGGACTTGGTGGTATACCGGAACGGATCTAGTCCAGGCTTCACAGACCAGTACTTGGTTGCAAAGATACTTTCTCCATGGGCTTTGATCCATTCACCGGCATCACGAAGATTGGTCTGCATGATTGCTGGGATGGAACCATCCGCTTTGGGGCCAATATCGAGGAGGAAGTTCCCGTTCTTACTGACGGCATCAATCAGTGATTCCACGATATCCTTTCCGGTCATGTATGCAGAGTCGGGCGTCTGGGCATTGTAGCCGTAGGAAAAGGTGTCCATGCCACGACTGGTCTCCCATTTGGCACGCACAGTATCGCCGTTGGTGAAGTACCTATTTTCCTGTATGTTAGTTCATTGAAACTATCAAACGACCTCCAGAATTTCGTTTCACACTTACTCGGGAGTATTAAAGTCTCCAGGTAGGCCACATCGGTTGTTGAATGTAACTTGTCGGCCCTGATCGCGGGCCCAGTTGAGCCACTCCGCTGCGAAGATTGTCATGTTGTTTGCGCCTCCGATATCGCACCATAGGAGTTCTGTCTCGTACTCATACGCAAGGACGCGCATTTGTGGCAGTTGCAGGTCTTTCACATAGTCGTTAATCTCAACATGACCTGTGTAGGGAATTTCTTGGCCGGTATAAGGATTCTTGGGTGGACCACCAGGGAATCCACCTCCCCACTCAATAGCGTAAGGGGCGTAGGTAGGGTTGAACCACTCGGGCATACTGAAGTACGTTCCTGGTTTCATTAGCATCAAACATGACCCTCGAGTGTAATCAGTAGCCATTGCTTACCTCGTCTCATTTCAGGATGATGCTGCTTGGCGGCGTCAAAGAGCTCAGCAATAAAGTCTCGTTTTGGCCCATAATGGACAGATGATCTCCTACTGATTTCAGTAGGGAAGTTGAATAAAGCGAAACCATCGTGGTGCTCTTAATTTCAAGTTAGTGTCTTGATCGGAAGCAATCAGGAAACATGCTTACTTGTCACTGGTACCATGTATTGAGCGCCAGCATCTGCAATCAGATCAACCCATTCTCTTGCATCAAAAGCTGAGGCTGTGAAATTTGCGATAAAGTCATCATAAGCAAAGTTCTCGCCATAAGTATCGCGGTGGTGCTGGTAAGTCTGTGTCTTGTAATTGGGATCCTGCATACGGTACCAGTACCTAGTAAACGTTTAGTCAAAGCAAGCGGCAAAGATGATGGTACTAACCACTCCGCATAATCCTGGTTGGGAGGCTGTCCTCCGTAAGCCGGCGCAGAGTATATACCCCAGTGGATGAAGATGCCGTACTTGACATCATTGAACCAATCAGGGTTCCAGTGACGATTGATACTGTCGGCTGACTGGGTATAGTTTCCAATACCACACATTCCTGTGACTGGGCTATTGACTGTGATGGGTGTCCCGTATTTTGCACCGTACGTGGCGGTCACGGTTCCAGAGCATTGAGTTCCAGCGGCAACGTTTGCTTTATTACGAATGCCGACCTGCACAATAGCAGCTTGATTTGAAATGAGCCTTGTCAATGTCGCAGGTACCACAACTTCGAATGAATCCGAGGTGGCCGTCACTTCGAGCGTGTCGGCCAATGTGAGCGCATTGGTACCTGTATTCTCGACTGTCATCTCCAAGACCTGTACGTAGTCACTCTTTTCGAGCCATTTGGAGGTAAGGACTGGCCCGCTTATTCTCAGTGCAGGTGGAAAGCCTATAACAAAAATCAGTAATGGGGTCTTGCATGGGGAGGCTTCGCTGAGCCGAAGGGAGTCACTTACCATTGGATCGGGTTGACAGCAAGCTGTTAGAAGAAGAAGCTCTTAACGCTGCAATTGTCGGGTTAATAGAAGCAGCAAGAAAGCCGACAAGGACGCCTCGGTTTCCACGCATGATTTATGGAATGTGATGCAAATATCTTAACAAATGATGTGTCTTTCCATTGACTACGGACGACTGTTACGATGAAACGTATGGAAGACCGATCTGGTAATGCCAGGCGACCGAAACGCTCAGAACCTGTGATGTCGGTGGCGCACTAAGATGATACGGGGTAACGATATATAAACTGTTCGACAGTATTCTTCATCGTGTCCTCTGCTACTAAGTACGGTGAAAAGACCGACCGAATGCGGGGAACCGAGGTACAGTACACACGAGCTCGTATTTGTTCCCTGGTACATTGTAGCATGTATGTGATGCGAGCGCGCCTCAAATCCTGAGTTAGGTATAGCCGAAATAGAACAAACAGTAGGACCTCCTTCGTATGGCGTAGTGGTGTTAATATCGCCCCTCTACGTTGCAGGACTGACCGACAAGGTGGGCATACCAGCCCTGCATCGTGAAAAGTTTAATATCCTAAGAATATTCTAGTATTTATTCTACTAGTACTTTCAGCTATCTATCTAAGGTTTCTGAGTACTAGTATAGTATAATATAGCGTGCAATCGCACATAGCATTCGTGATTCATAGTAGGATATAAATACCATCTATGTGGCACTCTTAGTAGGATAGCGAGCCATCTCTCCTTCACTTTACTTCTGCCCCTTTACTCCCGCTCCTCCCTGGCATCCCCACTCGCAGCAATGGAAGCCTAGAAGTCAGGACAGAAATAACGCCTTGCATTGGCTCATAGTGGTGACGTAACCAGGAGACTTCTCTGAATATTGCACTGGTGGGTAATTGTTAGGGATTGAGGAGTCGGCCTTTAAACTCAACATTACTACTACCATCAACAGTCAGAGGCCTTTCGATCAATATTTGATCGCAAAAAACACCTTGGCATAAGCAGCGCAGATTGGAATGGAGTAGGACCGAACTTTTAAGTTTTGGATTAGGGACGGCAGGATGCCAATGGATCAGATCTCAGAATAAGGGCTGGGAAATAAATGATAGCATTACGCATTGAGGTTCTGGGTCATTGAGGTACTGCCAAGTTATTGCATGATGAAGTGAGCATATGTCGATGAGCAGGTAGTAGCGCAATAACTTTGCTATCAATGAGCGTGCTGCGTAGTAGCTTACCACTCAGTACAATCTGCTTTATTGTGTAAAGCAACCCACCACTCTATCTCCTACATTCCTATAATACAATGCCTACTATTTTAAACTACTAAATTTTTTAGAAACACCTAAAATAAGAGTAAATATATAGATAAGTATATTCTCTAGGTTAACCTTATATTTGAAACACCTGCCCAGACAGCCAGGCTAGCCCTACCCTTCTACTCCAAACAATTCAGGACTACAGTGTTAAGCAGGAAGAGGCTAGAGCCCGAAGATGTTTGCGCGTACCTACGTTAGCTAGCGCCAGGGTTTGTGAGAACTCCAGCTGAAGATGCGGATTATTACAATACAGCTTTTCGCTAAAACATTGAACACAAATCCCGACAGCCGCTCCTTAATCTCAAGAGCTAACTCTTTCCGTCCAAGTCTCTGTAGTCTCCTCCCAAACTCCTGCATCGTATCCGCTTCAGACCGTTGCGCCTGGGTGTGGGTATGTAAACGGTGAATCGTCGTACTTGGCCTAAACCAAGACAAAGAAATTCAAGACCAAGAAGTGGGCGATTGATCGCTTGATTCTTGTCAACGTCTGTGTCAACGTCTGTAAACCCCTCGGGGTTAAGCCGACGGTGGCTTTTTATTGGTGGGATGCAGGGTTGAATTGTTGCTATTGGGGGCAGTTGGGGATGAGCACAATTCGTCGTCATACATGCCTTTTGCTTACCCCGACGTGAGGGTGCCAGAGAAGACGTAAGCGTAGGACGACGGCATCCTGTCTCGAATAAAAAGCGTCCTGTCAGCTTCAACGATTGCAAGGTGTGAAACAAGTTTCGCGGCTAAGTATAGAAGTGATTGTTTAAGAAGACTGTTCGGCTTTTTCGCTTACCGGTAATCTGAAGATGTGAAATCATCGCCTAGGCACATGTGAGAGATGCATATAACACATCTTCTCTCGTATGTTATAGAAATTTCGTATGCGTCGCCAGAAT